CCGGGGCCCAGCCAGTGGTGTGGAGGTTAAGGCGGTCGGATCCCACATGGCTGACTACACATTCAGGACCCAGACACGGCGCCTCGAAAACAAGGGCATGCCCACAATCCCGGAGGGAGAACGGAGGAGGAGGGATTGCGGCGTGGCCATCCCCCTGGAGGTGACTTCTTTCTTTCTCCCTCTCTCTCTCTCTCTGTCTCTCTCTCTCTGGAGAGCACACTTGCGCCATAGCAAAACTGGAGAGAAAAAAAAAGGGACCAGCCTGTTCGATCCAAGCACAGGGCAGGGTGTGGCAGACTTCAATGACAGTTGTCAGGGCCACGGGGAGACACTCAGCTGAAGACAGGCTCACAGCAGAAGAAACCCAGCCTCCTCTCACGGCTGGGATGCCAGGAAACCTCCGTGGCCTCTCTTCCCCCACCTGTGACAGGGCCTCATGGCCTCAGCTGCCTCCAGGGATCTGAGCAGCCCCCAGGAAGCCTCGGAGCCTGGCAAACGGTCTCTGGGTTGGACGAGGTGGAGAGGTCTCCGTAAGGGGAGGGCAGGTATGTTTCCCAACCCCAGACACAGATCAGAAGGTGCCCGCCCACCAGCCAGGGAGGCCTCCAGGCCCTTGCCCACCTGCCCCAGGAAGGCCAGTGGCCCATCTTCACCCACCGAGGGATGGGGCCTTCTGTGGGAACTGGCAGCCTTCTTCACGGAAGAGCTGGGTCCCCGCCTTGGAGTCTCGATCTCTCAACGAGGACGGCTTCTGCCAAGGACTGGGGGCGCAAATGGGAGACGAGGTGGGCAGGGGCTGGGGGCACAGTCCAGGGAACCCCACGTCCGAGGAGAGGAGAGGACGCTGCGCAGGGGAAGCCGGGACGCCGTCTGGCTGCCAGGACAGCAGAGCGGGGGTGTGCTGCTCGGGTGGCCACAGGGCCACGGCATTGAGCCCCAGCCTAGCTGTCCTGAAACACCGGGCACCGGCACCAACCTCAGGCAGGCTGGGGGCTGCAGGAAGCGGGGCCGCGTGGTGACCAGCCCGTGGGGTGCCCGTCACCTCCCTCTGCCGTGCACATGGGCTCCATCGTGAGCGAACGCAGAAAGGGCCCTGGGAACCAGAACCGTGCATGGCCTGAACAGATCCCCAGAAGACAAAGCCCGGGGCCTTCTCAGAAAGCAGACCGGACCGACAGTGAGACAGTGAGAGACCGTCCCGGCCCTGCACCCGCTCACGAGCTGCAGGGGAAGGGGAGGACGGCGCTCCGAAGGCCGTTCGAGGGCCCAGGACCTTCTAGGGCCCAACTTTGTCTCCAAAGGGAGGGGCCTTGCAGCATTGGCAGGAGGGAGACAAGCACCACAGCACGTCACGTGAGCGCGAAGGAGCCCCGGACTTCCTGGAGAGGTCACAGGAAGTCCCCTGACGGCTGTGCTGGAAGGTGGGAGCGGTGGACGGGTCTAGGCGAGGGCACTTAACCCAGGCTCCACTGTCCCTGGGCACCTTCAGGAGGGACTTCCCGAGGCACCTAGACGACCTTTCTCCAGAACCACTGGGACCGCAGCACACGCTCGGACTGTGGCCAGTGCAGCCGGACACGCGGGTCTTGGGGAGCCCCGC